TTTTATTTTTCTAAATCCATTTCTTCATTTTTTAGAATAAAAAATTGACTATTCTTTTTCATCTTTTTCCATTACTGCACCACCGTTTCTTATACCACCATACCACCAAATATTTTTGCCAAGATTTAGAGGAGGATAGAAAAGAAATCAGAGATTCATATTCAACATAGGAATCGTTGAATGACGGTTACACCGTTGAGCTGCCAGGGTGGCCAAATGCTGAAGGGAAAATTCGTGAAGTTCTTCATATGTGTTTTGTGAGAATTTGTGGGTTCTAATTGGGTCTGTGGAGTTTCTTCCATTTCAGCCATTAATGGGTTTGAAATTTTGGGTTCTTTTTTGTTCTTATTGTTCCTTGGTGTAAGCATTTTTGATACTCAAACTATATAATCGGTTAGTCAATTTGAAAGAGGGAAGATACAACTACAAAGGAATTTTTGGAAAAATATTTAATCGGTAATGTGTTGACATAAATTCAACGTTATCCTAATACTTTGAAAATTAAAATTAAAATAAAGCTTCATGGTTGCTAGTTCAAAATTACTCACTTAGGGTGGTGGGGTTGGGGGGAGAGGGGGAGGGCAACCATGATGGTACAGCCTGGGGAAGATGAAGAAGATGAAAATAATTGTAAATTCAAGTTTTTTGAAGTCAATAACACGTGTCACATTATTGGTGCGTGACTACACTTGATGAGAAAAAAATGAACCAGTACCAAGAGGTGTGTTTTAGACATATTTTGAAAAGGTTAAGTACATAAAAAGTTTTCCGTGAAATGTGTGCAACAGAAATTTCGGTGCAAGTTTAATGGATAAACTATATATTCTGCTTATTTAAGATCACAAATTTTAAGATTTTTATTTTTTGTTAAATTATTCAATCAAATACCTTCGACATAAAAAGAACGGATAGAGTATTATTTTAGGACAAATTTTACCCTTTTAGAACAACTATATCGTATAATAAATTTACCAACAAAAATTATGACAGTGTATTAAATACTCCTTTATTCTTAGTAAGATATTTCAGATTTGAGTCATGGGTAAAGACTCGTCTTGACAATGCTTTACTCTTAATGTACAACTTTCCAACATAAAATTCAAATTTAATCAGGTCTCGGTGCAAATACGAACCAAAAAGAAGTAAATTTAACCTTTTCCAACACGTAAATAAACAAATTTAACCATATCACGTGTAAAACTGCAAAAAAAAAGTTATCTACATAAAAATAAAAATAAAAAAAGAAAAGGTAAAAAAAAAAATATCCAGTAGCAGTGACTCGGTCAGTCGGTCATTGCAAATTGACAATACGTGGCAGAAAAAGAGAACACCTCGTTACATATACCTTCCAAAATACAGCCACGTTCTCATTTTACCTTTCCAAATCAACCGCTCTTTTAATTTTCAAGTTTGAAACCCCACAAACCTCGACCTTTATATCTTCTTCTTTCACTCCAACTCTTTCGCAATTCATTACACAACACAGATAAATTCGTTAGCTAATTTATCGCTTCTTTTAATTACACTAATTAATTTTAGTTCTAAAGGGGAAAAAAAAAAGGAAAAGGAAAATATTTGAACTTAATATTTTTGAGGATTAACAGAAATGGCAAAGAGGACAGCGTTGTTTATACTATGGGTGGCGGCGATGTTATGTGTATGTTGGTGTTGGGGGGAGGAAGCTGTGGAAAATGCCAAACAGAGAACAAATTTGGCAACTGGAGAAATGAAGATTGAAGGGGAAAAGATTAAGCAAAGTGCTGAAGAAGCAATGCATAATGCTAAAGAGAAGGCTGATTCTTTGGGAGATTGGGCCTCTGGCAAATCCTCCCAGTAAGATATTTCATATTTCTAATTGATTACAAGTACTCACTATTTGTTGTTTCTTTCGTCTCGGTTATCTTTTTTTGATGTTGTTATAGCTTGTTGTTACTGTTTCTTTTTACATTTTCGTTTCGGTTATCTTTTCTTGATGTAGTTATAGCTCGTTGTTACTATTTCATCTTACATCTTTTCTTGAGCCGAGAGTTTATAGGAAACCGCCCTTTCTGTTTTCTGTGTGGGTAGATCTGCGTACATGCTGCCCTCTCTGTTTTTTGTGCGGGTAGATCTGCGTACATGCTGCCCTCTACTTTCGCTAAGCTTTTTAATTGATTACCAGTACTATATTGCAGCCTTTTTGTTAAATGCTATAGAGTTTAATTTTAACGCACTAACTGCAAACATTAATTTATACCATCAAGTTTAACTTGAGTTTAATTTTCAAAATGTGCAATGTAGGTTTAAGATCTAAGTTTTAAAAGTCTTTCTTCTTAAATTTTGCGAACAATTTGATGCGGAGAGAGTGTGAGATATCTAGCTAGGAGGGAAATGATGGAAGCATCCATTCATAGCCAATATGTTGTTATTCCCTTCTTTAGATTAATGCAAGGATCTAACTAACTCTTAATTTTGTGTAGGCTTTTTTCTTTGAAATAGGAAAAAGAAGCTCCTGTTAAAGTGATAGTGGATATAAATCTAACTTACCTGCTTATGGAAAAATTAGGAAGCAACTTTTTTGAGTTCCATTTTCGTGATATCCATTGGACAATATGAATGATGATATTAAATTCTAAATATGTTTAAAGTTAACATTTAAAGAGACTACTTTGGATTTGGTGAGAAAAGGTGTAGAAATTATTTCGGTTGAAATAAAGCAATGTTCAGTGGAGGTGTAAGTTTTACCAAGTAAATGTAGTTTGCTTGTTTACTATCAAAGGTTCCATCTTTTATGATACCTTGATCGAACAACATATATTCAGCTACTCAAAGCAGTATTTAACATGTTGATTGTTGCCTGATGGCATTCTAATTATCGTCTCGTATGCGAGTCTCAAAATCTAAATGGGATTTTAATTACTACAAATTTTCAGGTATCAAGAAGATGCAAAAGATGAAGCCCACGGATTAATGGATAGAACAAGAGATGCAGCAGCAGATGCTAAAGATTCTATAAGTTCAACCGCATATGGTAATTTTTTCCTTTTGTCTACAAAGACTAAGATGTAGCACGACGCCAAAGGAATTATCCCTCGGATACTTCTAAACATTTTGAAAGAGTTGTATACTAATTGGTTTTGCTTGCAGGAACCCAAAGAGAAGCTTCTCAAAAAGCTAGCAGGATGGCAGACGTAGCGTCTGACAAATTAGGTGACGCGAAGAATCTTGCTTCCGAGAAGGGGAATCAAGCAATGGATGCAGCAGCTGATATTGCTCATCGTGCCACGGAGAGAGGGAAGCATGGTGCATATGGTGCTTATGACTTTGCATCGGAGAAAGCAGGTAACGCCAAGCAATGGCTGAGTAATATATAAATTGTTGAGTTTCCTTGATACGAGGGGTGGTAGTGTAGTGGCAAAACCTAGTGATTATGTTAAACTACATGTTCGGGTTCAAAATCTTAGGTGTGACATTCTAGCATTGTTTTTAAGTTCTATTGTTAAAATTGTTGGCATTGCCACTGACACCATTTCCATGGCTTCTGGTTTGGCAGGTGATGCCAGCGATAAAGCCAAAGAAAATGCTCATGATGCTTATGTCTCTGTCTCGGATAAGGTCGGGAATGCGATGAACACGGCCTCGGACATGGCAGCCAACACCAAAGAAGGAACTAAACATAAAGCTTCTGAGGCCTATGAATTCGCCTCTCAAAAGGTGGATGACGCCAAAGAAAAAGCTCATGATGCTTATGACTCTGCCTCGGATAAGGCAGGGCATGCGATGAACACAGCCTCAGACATGGCAGCCGACGCCAAAGATGGAACCAAACATAAAGCTTCTGAGGCGTATGATCTTGCCTCTCAGAAAGTGGGCGATGCCATGAACGCAGCTTCCCATATGGGCAGTGACGCCAAGGGAAAAATGCAGGATAAAGCAGGTCAAGCAATGGACAAGGCATCAGAAATGGCGGGCGATGCCAAAGAGATGGGAAAAGATGGCGCATATAATGCTTACAGATATGCATCTGATAAGATGAATCAAGCAAAGGACATGGCCTCTAATAGTGCTGTTAATGCAAAAGATACAGTGAAAGATAAAGCATCCGATGCCTATGATATCGCCTCGAGTAAGGCTGGCCAAACCATAAAAATGGCTACTGACAAGGCCAAAGATGCAAAAGACTCGACATCGGAAGTATTGGCCGATGAGAAAGCTAATGCTTTTGGTAAATATGAAGATGCAAAATCAAATGTTCGCGAAACATATCAGTCTGCCAAGGACACCATGAATGAACAAGCCAAGGAAAAGTATGAAGCTGCCAAAGAGAAGGCTTCAGATGCTGCTGGCAACCTTGGAAACAAGATGAGAACTCGCACTACAGAATTATGAAAAACTACTAGTAGTACGAAATCTTCAGGTGCAGACACCTCTTGAATCCTTATATCTTCTTCTTGTGAGTAGCTGAGATAGTTAGTACAGCTATGTTTCTTTTGTTTTCTGTAACTGTCTTTTTTATCTAGACTTTGTAGGTTAGGGATGTCGCTAACCTAACTAAGTTCTGTATGTTTTTGCTTAGGTTGAACCCGTCATAAATAATATGTTCCAGTGTAGCATGACGATGGGTTTTTTCTAAATTCCCTCTTTGCTTGAGGGTTGATTAGAAACATTTTCTCTACCTTGATAATGTAGTTATAAGGTTTGCGTACACATTAGATTGAGATTATATTGGGTATGTGTTAGTTGTTTGCTTGAGCCTTCCCTTGTTTAGTTTGGAGTATTGATGTATGACCAGAACGTTTGTCTGACACATATTTAACCAAATCTAAACTAGTATATTATGATAAAAGGGCCTTTTGTAAGAAGGAAATTTAACTAGCATATTGTACGCAGCCTTATCCTGCTTTGATCTCCTGCTCATATAGCAGCAACTTTACCAGTTACGCCAAGACTTTTCTTTTATGTATAACCAAAAAAAAGAATTAAAAAAAAAAAAAGAAGAAGAAGTAACTAGTGCACCAAAATGAAGAAGGACCAAGCTAGCAAGATTGAAGTTAAAACTTTATTTTGATTTCTTTCCCTGCTGCTTTTTTATGACTTCATCCATGTACATTATACCTTTACCTTTGTAAACTTCAGGAGGTTTACAACTCCTTATAGAAGCAGCAAATTGCTGTACCCTCTCTTCGTCAATCCCAGCACAGCAGATGACATTAGGTTTGAAACAGAACACACGAACTGCAGGAGGAACGGTCAGTTCAACCTCATGGCTATTACCCAGCTTTAGGTATAAGAGACGACCTTCGGATTCTGCCCTAGCCTTGAAACCAACTCCGACAGTCTTGAGAAAGCGAAAGAATTTAGCTTCCATACGACTAAAAATTATCAATCAGCTGAAATGGGAGGTAATATGCAGAAAGCTACATCAATATGGGACCTGCAACAACAACAACTACAACACCATAAGAACGACATCGACAACAACAGTAACAACTATTACTACGCCTCAAATTCAAACAAGTTGGGTCGGCAAAGATGAATCCATGTCGTTCTATTTAAGCTCGTCTACATCCATATTAGATAAAATAAAATTAGAAGGCACTAGAAATTTTCTACATTTTCTACTGGCATCAAAAGCCACATCAATAGAGTAAAAATTGAAGGCCAACAAAAGAAAGGACATTATTTCCTTTGGTGGGAGTTTTAGCATGGACAAGACCATGGGAATAATAATTAAATATTTCTGAATAAGGATGAAAGCAAAACTGAAAAGAATGTATTATGCATATAGCAAGTTTACCTACTTGCAAGTATAATATTCCTTGAATAATAATAAACTCTTCATTTATTTTAAAAATAATAATAAAATGTCAAATTAGTTTGATTTAGAAAAAAAATAAAAAAAACTTAAGCGGGGCAGGGACGGGTTGAAAACTAAAATATAGCTATGCGGGGCGGGGACGGATTGAAAACAAAATTGAAACAAAAAGCTATGCGGGGCAGGCGTGTTAAGACCAGTGGCGGACCCAGAATTTTGTGCAAGCGGGTTCAATCTTAGAAGTACACAACTTTAGTCTTGTCAAGTGGGTTCAAATAAAATATTTATACAAAATTTACGCAGCTTTAATTGTAATTTATACATATACACAGTATTATTTTTCGGTGAAGCGGGTTTAGTTGAACCCGCTGGCCACCACGTGCGTCCACCACTGGTTAAGACAACCCCGCACCGCACGGCACCACCGCCATCCCTTTGGTCAATGGGAGATTTCGGACTTCTAACATTACAGTTGCACGAAATTATCAAACTACTCCCCAAAGTATGATTCAGGATCAAATCTTGCATCCCTGGCAAAAGATGTGAAATTCGTGTGTTGCTGAAAATGCCAACTATATAGATAAATCATCACTTCTATTAAGTAATTTCTATAATAGAAGTTTCCATAAAATTGATTATTACTACTAATAACGACGACAAGTAATGGGAAGCAAACACGAATACAAATTATTGCAAATATAACAAAGAATTAGAGAAGGAACTCACAGTTCGGATTTCGTCGCCGATTGGAAATGGGGAAAAGTGGTGTCAACTTCAGCCGGAAATTTGGAATCAATCTGAATTTGGGCCTGAACCATGCTAGATAAAGGAATTTGGGCCCGTAGTTTGATAAAGTTGTATATCCATAAAATAGGTGTGATATATACATTGATAGGCATGATATACATCCTTTATACATTATCATTGATGAATTTAAAGAATATTTGTGGTGGCAGAAATCTGACTTTTTCCAGAGATGAACCCCACGTGAGATAATTGCAGTAATGGAGTTTCTTTAATAAATTGGGATCGGTTATTTCCCGCCAAATGTTTTTGGGCTTCAATTGTTGAACATATTCTTTGGTTAAAATCTTAGTTATTAGCAATGATATATACATGCCAAATTCCCATCCAAAAGACCTATTATTCCACGGGATCTTTACACAAATAGCCAGTCATATTTATTACTTATTTTTTATTTCTCTCTCTCTCTCTCTCTCTCTCTCTCTCTCTCTCTCTCTCTCTCTCTCTCTATATATATATATATATATATATATATACACACATTCATTATACACAATTATACACAAATAATATATATAAATTATGCTTATATTATACCTTCACTGGTTATTTTTAGTTAAGCGACTGAGTGGGGCGGTTATTGGGGTTAATTCTTCTACTTGGATTTTATCATGGCCCAATACCTTTTCATCTTGCAAAATAAATGGGAGAAATTCAAAAATAGCCAGATTTACAAGTGGTCATTCAAAAATAGCCACAGTTTCAAAAGTAATCGAAATTTAGCCACTTTTCATGTAAAGATAAATTTGGACGAAAACACTGTTAAAAATTCGGAAAATACTCCAGCATATTATACTGGAGTTCCAACATAAGTATACTGGAACTCCACCATATTATATTGGAGTTCCAGCATAAGTATACTGGGACTCTAGCATATTATAATGGAGATCCAGCATAAGTATATTGGAACTCCAGCATAATATACTGGAGTTCCAGTATAATATACCGGTCCAATATAATATGCTGGAAGTTCATACACAGGTGCTCCAATCTCCAGTATATTATGCTGGAACTTTCCCCGTGTTGGAGTTCCAGCATAATATGCTGGAAGTTCATACACATGTGCACTGATCTCCAGTATATTATGTTGGACCGGTCCCTGTTGCAGCAAAATAGTGGCTATTTTTCAATGACTTTGCAAACGCTGGCTATTTTTGAATGACCAGTCCGAAAACTAGCTAGCCCGTGCTATTTTGCCAAAATAAATAAAGGCTTTTCATGAATACCCAGGCAGAGTAAAATATTTACCTGCATGTACCTATTTACAAAATTTATTCCTTAAAAAATTATTCTTTCCATGCCAAAATATGTTTAACTTTTTGTTATTCGACATTCAAACTATGTAAACATTGGATAATATTTTAAAATATAATTTTTTCATCATAGTGACATTAGAAGATAGCGGCTTAAAGACTTTCTTTTTAAATAGTTTTTGATTATTTAAAATTTGATTTTAAATATTGAGTCGATCTAATTTAATTTAGCTTAGAAAGTTAATCAAACTAACTCTTGAAAAGCAAAAAGTGACATTTACTTTAAAACGAAGGAAGTACACTGTAGCAGTTATCTATATTATATACCTTCGAGTATGATTCACATTAAGATATATAAGAGTTTTTTTGGGGTTTATACAAAATTTTCTTGGACTGCTCTCTCTCGGTGCTAATTTAAGCTGGTAGAGATGGCCCGTCCGAAGAAGAGGAACTTCATAGCTACGACAAAGAGTACTGATTATGAAGATAAGGCAGATAAAGAGGATACCAGGTTGGTAACCCCAGAAACGGGAATCCCCCAAAACTTAGGGTCTGTCCAATTATTCCGTTAGATGCAAGGAATAGGTAGTGCTCCAACTATCTTACACGGCCAGGTGAGGAAGGAATCAACAGCACTGGTGGAATTGCAAGCTCCGGTGGTAAAAACCCCTACAGATCCAGTACAAAACGAGACAGATACGGCTACAGCGACGAGAAATTAACATTCTCGGCGGGGATTAGAGGCTCCCAACCAACCCTAGCTGACGTTGTCCAAGGCAATAGGTCACTACAGCAAGGATTGAATTGAATTATTATCCTCCTATCATTAAGGACGGAATAAAAATAGTTAGACTGAACTACACAGAGGTTGAGGAGCAAAATAGGAAATGGAGGACAAGCTTAATTGGATATGTAATAGGTGGATCCCCTCTATTCAATGAGATGCTCAAATTTGTGTATGGTGTGTGGCACTTTGTATCGACACCACAGGTATTACTCCACGACGAAGGTTACTTTATCTTTAAATTCAGTTCTGATGAAGATAGAGATCTAGTGCTTCGAAATGAACCATACACATTCAACAACAGGCCAATGATATTGAAGCAATGGGAGCCAGATTTCCAAATGAGCAAGGAAGCTACGAACAATATCCCAGTTTGGTGAATTTTCCTGGGTTGCCTATACAATACTGGACGGTGGAAAATCTGGGAAGAATAGCAAGCTCTATAAGGAAACCGATTTGCACAGATAAACTGACAGCCCAAGAAGCAGGGATATCTTATGCACGTATGTTGATCGAAATGGATGTGTCTCAACCATTGCCTGATACAGTGCTGATTGAAACTGCTGATGGCATACACAAGGAGTAGATATTGAGCTACGATTGGCAACCATCTTTCTGTCAAGACTGCCTTCAAATAGGGCACCGTACAGGTGAATGCAATGCAAAAGCAGAAATGACACAAAAAACTGGCCCTGCTCCTAAAGGTCGGGCAAGGACTAAAAAGCAACAAGGAGAACAACATAAGATAGGAAGGAAACAAGTCACTAAGTGGGTAGTAAAGCCAAATGCAGCCAAAGAAACTCAAGGGCAAGAAGCAAGAGCTGAACCTAGTACTAACGAAGTAACTGCAACATCAGTGATAAGGTAAGAAGAGAGTTCTGAAGGGACTGTGCAAACTGAAAATGTTGATTTCCAGATGGCGAAAACAAAAGGGAAACAGGTGCAAAGCCCCAAGGTGAGAACATCACTAAGGGATGGTTTGTCTGATGCAAATATTGAAGCTATGCTGTACCAAAACAGATTTAGTGCACTGAGAATTCAGGAAAAGAAAGATGCAAGTCAGGCATCTAAAGAGGGAAGAGTACCCCTTGCTCAACCTCCATGATTATTAGCTCATGGAACATTAGAGGGATTAACAAGCCCTACAAATAGAAAGAACTCAAGGCTTTTCTGCTTAAAAATAAAGTAACAGTTAGAGGGTGCCTTGAGACAAAAATAAAAACCTGAAATGCAAAAAAAGTTAGAAGGAAAGTTGAAAATGATTGGGAAGTGTTTGCAAACTACACACAGGCTCCTAATGGGAGAATATGGATAATGTGGAAGACTCAGCATGTAGAAGTCAAAATAATACTTGCAGGGGCTCAGTTGGTGCACTGTGAAGTCAGGGATAAACACATAGATTTTACCTGCTGCTTAACATTTGTGTATGGGTACAACACAATAGGAGAGACAGGAAATATGGACACAGCTAAGACAAATACATAGTGCTATGGTGGAGGCTTGGCTTGTTTTAGGAGATTTTAACACCATGATCAATGGCAATCCTGTTAGTCAAACTGAGGTGGAAGATTTCCAAAAATATATTGCTGACACTGGGCTGGAACAGTTGAATAGAAAAGGTTGTCAATGGTCATGGTGCAACAAAAGGGAGGCTGCAGACAGAATTTACAGTAACATAGATTGGGCCTTGGGAAACTCTCATTGGTTTATGAAATATAGCAGTATAGAGGCAGTGTATGAAAACTATGGGGTATCTGATCATTCCCCCATAGTATTGTGTACTAAGGTTATTAGAAATTGGTTGCCAAAACCTTTTAGACTACTGAATGTGTTCCTACAGGATGAAGAATTCAACCAAATGGTTCAAGAGGTGTGGAATCAATCTATCCCTGGATATACTATGTATTCAGATTGGAAGAAACTGCAGGATCTAGGAAGCAAAGCAAAAGGGATGAACAGAACTTACAACTCAGTGGAAAAAATGATAGACACCCTCAAGGGGAAGCTGTAGAGGGTACAAAGTGAGATTGATGCTGACCTATTCAACAATCAGTTGATATTGGAGGAGAAGGAGATATTAATGCAAATTGAGAAATGGGAAGGCATCCAAGAGAAGGTGTATAGACAGAAATCAAGGGCAATCCGGATATCAGCAGGAGATTCCAACACAAAGTTTTTCTATGCACAGCTGAAAGCAAGACAGGCTAGAAATAGAGTGTCTACCATTTGTAATGAACTTGGTCAAAAACTGAATGATCCTTCCTTGGTAGAACAAGAGTTCATAACATTCTTCAAAAACTTGCTAGGAACAAATGCTACTGAACTACCTTGTCTTGATGTTACAATAGCCAGAAATGGACCATGCTTGAATAAAGAACAGCAACATGTACTTATCAAGGCTGTATTAGAGGAAAAAATCAAACAGGGACTTAAAGATATGCCAAATGACAAAGCTCCTGGCATAGATGGTTTTCCACCTGAGTTCTTCAAGAAATGTTGGGGCATTGTTGGAGAAAAAACTATGCAGGCTGTAAAGGAATTCTTTGAAACAGGGAAACTTCTGAAGAATGTTAATAGTACTACTGTTACATTGGTGCCAAAGTTTTCAAGTCCCTCTTTAGTAAAAGAATTTCGACCAATAGCATGTTGTACCCTATACTAGCTCATTGCCAAGATCCTTACAACAATATTAAAGACAGTGATGGACTTCATAGTAGGACCAGCACAGTCAGCATTCATAGAAGGGAGAAGCATACTAGATAACATGATTGTTGCCTATGAACTGGTAAAGGGATATAATAAAAAAGGAGTCTCGCTTAGGTGCATCATAAAAGTGGACATAAGGAAGGCATATTGAATGGCCATTCCTACGTATGGTCTTACTGGAATATGGGATACCTAGCAAAATGATTCAGTGGATAATGGAATGTGTGACTACTGTGAGCTACTCTCTGCTGATCAATGGTGGACTTACTAGTAGATGTCAAGCAAGGAAGGGACTGCGACAAAGGGACCCAATGTCCCCTTACCTATTTGTACTAGTAATGGAGTATCTGAATAGAACTATGAAGACTCTTAAGGACATCCCTGACTTCAATTTCCATCCAAGAATTGCGAAGTTGAACCTCGCACATATCTGCTTTC